TGGGTCTTATTTGTTGATTATTGTTATGTGTTATTGAGCTGCTGATAGCTCCAGGGCGTGCTGTTAGCCCGTTGGGACTGCTGATAGTCCCCAGGGTTGTCGTTAGCCCACAGGGCGTGCTGTTAGCCCATTAAGATTGTTGATAGTCCCCATGGTTGTTTATTTATGTTGTATTGTATGTGATATTTTGAGGAACTCGCTAAGATTCGCACTTATGATTGTGGATTTAAATGTGTTTCAGGTACTTCCGATGATCACGGGAATGCGAAGGTTTGACTATACACTCTCATCGACAATTTTCTTGATTCCACATTTCGAGATACTCCGATCTGATAGAGGAGGAGAGTATCTTAGTACCGAGTCCCACGACTACTTCAAGGAATGTGGACTAGTTTCACAATTGAATCCTCCTAGAACACTACAACTTAATGGTGTGGTTGAGAGACACAATCGGATCTTATTGGACATGGTTCGTTCCATGATGAGTGAAGCCACTCTTCCCATCTCATTCTGGAGGTATTCCTTAGAGACAACCGCCCATATCCTCAATCTTGTCCCTACTAATAAGGTTGTCAAAACACCTCACGAGATGTGGACAAAGAAAGTTCCCTCGTCATCACATATCAAAGTCTAGGGTTATGAAGCTTTCGTTAGACGAGAGACTCATGACAAGCTAAAAGCCGAAAGTGAGAAGTATATTTTCATTGACTACCCACAAAAGTCTTTTGGCTACTTGTTATATAGACCTAGTGAAAACGTGGTCTTTGTAGCACGAAGAGGGGTCTTTTGCGAGAGAGAGGTCATATACAAAGAGGACAGTGGAGAGCTCATATACAAAGAGGACAGTGGGAGTACAATTGATCTTGAAGATATTCAAAAGTCAACCAATGAAGGAACCTTATAAGACACTAACACTCAACCAGAGGAAGAAATTCCATTTGAGCCAGTTGACAATTCATTACCTCTTCGTCGTTTCAGTAGAGTTAGCATGCCACCAACAGTTCATTACCTCTTTATCCGTGATCAAACACTGGTAAATTTGGATGATCCTGCTAACTACAAGGAAGCGATGGAAGACCCTAAGGCTACCAAGTGGAAAGATGCAATGGACAGTGAGATCAAGTCCATGTATGACAACCAAGTTTGGAATATGGTTGATCAAGAACCTGGTCGAAAGACAGTTTGTTGCAAATGGATCTTCAAGAAGAAGAGTGACATGGATGGAAATGTGCACACATTCAAAGCACGACTGGTTACGAAGGGATTTACTCAAACCCCCCAGGGATTGACTATGATGAGACCTTCTCACCAGTGGCCAAGATTAAATCTATTAGGATAATGCTCGCCATAGCTGCCTTTCATGATTATGAAATTTGGCAGATAGATGTCAAAACTGCTTTCCTTGATGGGAAGTTGGTTGAAGATGTTTACATGAGTCAGCCAGAGGGTTTTGTTGATGCAAAGTTTCCCAATAGAGTTTGTAAGCTTGAAAAATCCATCTATGGATTGAAACATGCGTCTCGTAGCTGGAATCTTTGCTTCCATGAGAAAGTCAAAGAGTTCGGTTTTTCTAGGAGTGAGGATGACCCCTGTGTGTATGTCAAAGCTAGTGGGAGTATAGTAACCTTTCTAGTATTATATGTTGATGACATACTACTTATATGAAATGACATACTACTTATAGGAAACGACGTTCCAACCTTGCAAGAAGTAAAATCTTGGCTTGGAAAGTGTTTCGCTATGAAGGATCTAGGAGAGGTAGCCTATATTCTCGGGATAAGAATTTTGAGAGATAGAAAGAAAAGACTAATTGGACTTAGTCAAAGAACATACTTGGACAATATACTGAAACGGTTCAGTATGGAAAATTCCAAGAAAAGAAAGCTACCTATTCAAAGCAATACCAAATTGAGTAAGACTCAAATCCCTAATACAGATGAAGAGATAGTTGATATGAGTCGAGTCCCTTATGCTTTGGCAGTAGGATCGATCATGTACGCTATGACATGTACTCGTCCTGATGTGTCCTTTGCTTTAAGCATGTTCAATTGCTATCAGGGAAATCCTAGTACATCTCGTTGGACATCAGTAAAGAACATTCCCAAGTATCTGCAAAGGACAAAGGATATGATTATAGTCTTTGGAGGCAGTTATACATTGAGAGTGACTAGGTATAGTGACACAAGCTTTCAAATAGACAGATATAACTTTCGTTCTCAATATGGCTGGGTGTTCACATTAAATGGTGGAGCAGTTACTTGGAAAAGTTCCAAGCAATACACGATGGCTGATTCTACATGCGAATCAGAGTACATAGCGTCAAGTGAAGCATCAAAGGAAGCAGCTTGGTTGAAAAACTTTATCGGAGATCTTGGAGTAGTTCCAACCATTCAGGATCCAATGGAACTTTTCTACGACAATGAAGGTGTGGTTGATTTGACTAAAGAACCGAGAGACCATGGCACGTCAAGACATATCGACAGAAAGTACCATTACATCAGACATAGAGTAGAAGAAGGTCACCTCATTGTGAAGATGATATCATCAGACGAGAATCTTGCAGATCCTTTGACAAAGACACTGAGTAGGGTCAAGCATAATCAGCATGCTAGGAGCATTGGTTTGAGAGATGATATTAGTTTTAGTAGTTAGATGAGTAGTTTGAAACTTGTAACAAAATAAATGTAATTGACTTTTAGTGATTAAATGATAGAGATTATTTATGAGTTTGTTTATTTCCTTTAGCAATTATTTATTCTTGTGTTTTATTTTGCATGTTTTACTTCCCGAATAATTTAATTATTCAAATTCCACAGTTACTTATACTCTGGGAAGTAAATAGTGAATTAAGAATGTCATGAATCAGTTTGTAGATTGTCTAATAAGGTCAAACATAGCAATTGTATTGCTACAACATTCATAAGTACTTAGAAATGGAGATTTAAGTATTGGATAAACCCACACTAAGAGAATTACTTCATGGATTAAATCATGAGTAATTTTGAGATGATGATATCTTATATTCTTAGAATGGAGATATATGAGTTGTAATTTACAAGTTGGTTAGGCATTGGTGTTGCGAAAACACATCAGTAACATGATGTTATAAAATGCAGTTCCATGTATGATTTGGTGAGTAAAGGATACAAGCATATGAGGCAAAGTTTATTTGTTCCTTTTGCCATAACAGGAACAACGACATCTTTGGGCCCCTCAGTGATTTGTTGTTGACTTATAGTGTTGGGCCCACCAGGACTTAATTGATGTGTTCAATTAAGTCCTATGTCATCATCACAAGACTTATAGTGATGGGCCCAACCATAACTTAATTGATGTGTTCAATTTGAAGTCTTATGTCGTCATCACAAATCAGGAAATCAGGAAACAAAACTTGGAAATGACATTGATTCTAACCCATGTCTCATATATGTATGATATCTAGTAGAACGGAGGAATATTTGATCACTTATCTTAGGACCAATGTCTATTTAGTTCAGAGTTCGGCAGTTGCTATGGAAGCACTCTTTGCTGTCTAATTTAGAAGTTATACTGGTAATAGCAGTTATAGACTTATCCAAGTGGGAGATTGTTGTATTAGGTGTCTAAACCAATAACTGAATTAGTATATACTTGAATTAGTATCAAAGTCCTTTTTGGTTGCCCTCAAACCTAGTAATTGAATATGATGACTTTTAAAGATAGTGACTGATTTATTAATTTATTATGTGATTAATAAATTAATTAGAAATCAAAATAAATAATTTATTAATATATTATGAGAACAATATGTTAATTAGAAATAGTCTTATTTAATCAGAAATTAATTAGAATTAGTTTTGAGATTAACTGGAATAATTAAAAGTGGAAGAACTAAAGGTGACAATGTTCAAAAGCTGAACATTGACCAATTCTAGAACCTCCCTAAGAGGGGGGACGAATTCTAGAAGGGTTTTAGGGTTTCCTTGGGCATTAGTGGAGCCTTGGATGCCTTAGCGATCAAGGAAAAGAGATAAAGTTTATCTAAGGAAACATGTATTATCCTAGTTCCCTTAGTCACCTATATAAAGCCTCCGTGGGATTCATAATTTTGGCCATCTTATTATCCCAAGAGAAATCCGAAATTCCTTATCCCCTCTCATATCTCTTTAAGTCTCCTTGTTGCTAAGGTTGAGTGTGAACCATCAGAGGCATGAGATTTCTGGTGCTAGCTTCCATATGACTATAAGAAGGATTTTGTTTTGATTATCTACTAGTATAATCAAGAGGTATGTTTTCTAAACCCTTTTTTCTATTTTCGAAAAATACTAGGGTTCTTTTAGAGTTCTTGATGTTCAATTGACTATTGCATTCAATAGTTAAAACATAGATAATTTAGGTTGCATGCAAACTTAGGGTTTAAGTTTTTCTGCCAAAATATGATTTTGTAACCTATAAATCCCATTAACTGCTTCACCAACAAAGTAGTCGTTCACCATTTGGTTGTGCCTGAATTCATGATTTCTCCGTAAAGAAGGATTTCTTGTTTTTGGGCGTAAACTTTCGCCTTCATTTTCTTGTAAATAAACAAGTGTTGTGCACATGACGTCTTCGATAAACCTCGCTTCCCGCAACGCCAACGTATCCGACGAAGTGGACGAAGATGAAGACATTTTGAAATAAAATTATTGTAAAGTATATAAAGTGTTTGGTGTTTGTTTTATGATTTAAAATGAGAAATAAGAGTGTTAATTTATAGGAAAGTTTAAACATTTTTTTTTTTAAAACCTTTGGCTTCAATGCTCGATTCCAATGTTCAAAAGAAAAATATCATGCGGTGAAATCATACCTCGGTGGAACAAAGCGGTCGGTGTGGTGTTTATCGCATACCGCGATGACACGTCATATACTCTGGTATGCGGTATTAGGTGCACCGAATGGTCTTACTTTAAAATTATGTGAAGATTATTATATTATTACAAAAATTTATTTATTATTTATGTTTTTCTTTTTAATTCCGCCTTCACATCATGACCAAAAATCTGAAAAAAAGGAAAAACGTGAAAGGAATATCACACTACAAAATCGCAATCGTCCGAGTGGCCAGGCCATATTTCTTGCCCAATCCAACTGATTGATTGTCGCCATATTTGGATAACCACACGACCATTTCCCACATTCCCTTTCCGTTAAATTAAGCAAGTTTTTACCCTTTTCTCTCTCTCTCTCTTCAACCGAACAATAATTTCCCAAAATCACCCAATTCTGTCCCAATTCCTTCCGCTGGATGCTATCCTCTCAACAGATTCATCATGATTTTTTTAAGTTAGTCAAGGGTTCTTTATTGTAACCCATCATTACATTTGATCCTGAGAGAAAGGTACGCCACAATTCTCATCAACCCACAATTTAATTCTGTTTTTTTTATATCTATTTTAGTGTTTTCGACATTGAATGCAGATACTTTGCTCGTTACCCTAAATTTTGTTCCGTTTTAATCGATTATTGGGAGAACCTTTGATTGTGTGAGATTAATCGGCTCATTTCTTCGCATTTGTAGTAAATTCTGTGGATGGTTAAAATTAAAATACGAGAATGCTTTTTTCGATCATTGATTGGATATCCCTCTTCATTGTTCTTGCTTTTTTCGTTAGTTTAGGGTTCTCTGGTATATAAATCCATCATTACCTCATGAGTTTTTTTTTTCATCAGGAGTTGCATCTTGATAATTATTTCACGAAACCCACGATTTAACTCTGTTTTCCTTTTGTGTAATTCTTATTCTTGGTCCAAATTCTTGTATGGGTGCCTCTTATCTCTAGTTTTCGCTGTTCATGACATGCATGATTCACATATTTCATGGGATTGCAGATTCTGGTCTTTTCTTTTTTAATTTTTCTCATATTTTGGCAGATTCTTTCGTATATGGAAGCTTCAATTCATTATAATTTTAAATAAGACGTTGTCTGTATTTAAAAGAATTAGTGTTCTTTCCGGAGGATCATTATTGGATTTTACTCTTTACTATATGTGGCAATGGGTCATCACTCATGAGTGGGTTGGTGAAAACAATTATTTTTCTTGACTATTTGATATGAATTGTTCATCTTAACCCATTACCCCCTTTTTTAATATTTAGCAAATAATTAATATAGTTATAATAAATATGATTACAAAATCTTATTACAACACTGATCATTTTTCTAATAAGCAATTTAGGATATTGTAAAACTCCCTACATTGCCCCTCTCATTTTTGTTCTTTCTTTCAATATTTTTTTGCTTCAATTCATTGCATAAATAATGTTTGTCGGTATTAGTGGATCGGATATTGGAATTGCCTTTGATTTATTGTCTGAAATTTTCCTCTTTCTTTTTCATGCTTTTTAAAAGTTAAAAGGTATTATTTGGTACTTGTAGGGTTCTATTTTATTAAAAAAAAAGGTATCCAGGGACTTCTTCCACCCACCCACAATTTATGATGTTTTCTTTATATAGGTGGCTAAATGGTCGAATTGAATTTCTTTTCGTAGCATTTTGTAATATAAATAAAATTAAAACAATTTTTTTTTATCCTGATGTTGCTTTTGGAATTCCAATTTGCATACTTGATAGAAATTCATGGGTCGTGTCAATATGGGTTCGATCCAAATGAATCCTTTATTAATATAATATCAATATAAATATAAATTGACCCATTTTTGTAAATTACTTGTAATTCTTCCTATATATTTCATCTCATTACTCAAATTTCATTCGATTGCAGAATCTTGGAGTGCCCTTGTAAATTTCAATCTTTTTGTTTAAATTCTTCCATCTATAGATAAGTAGATAACTCTTCTTGCGGGTATTCAAAAGATCGGCGTTTTTTCAAAATTATTATCTGAATTTCCCTATTTACCCTTCTCGCATTATCTTAAACATTAAAATTAAAATTCCTTTTTTTAATCATCAGATTGTGAGCCAACATGGGTGATACCGATGGTAAAGACGAGAAGCATGAAGCACCACCATCTGGATCTGCAGTTCGCGACGATGCATCCGAATCCTCTTGTTATGCAACGGAAGACGATGAAGAAACCCAAATACATTTGGGTCCCAAAATTAGCATCAAAGAACACCTCGAAAAGGATAAGGTCCTTCATTTTTTAATACATTCACCTTTTTTAGGGCTTTTTAGTAATTTTACTATTTTGTATGTCTTTTTTGATTACGTATTCGTGGTTCAGGATGATGAGAGTTTGAGGAGGTGGAAAGAGCAGTTGCTTGGAAGCGTTGATGTCAGTCAGGCCGAAGGTAATTTTTTTTTCTTTATTTGATAATTATGCAATAAAAGCTACATAAACTCGATTGCTAATATGTTCTTTGGTATTTTATTACTAGAAGTTCAAGAACCTGATGTGAAAATTCTAAGCCTTACAATAATTTCTGCTGGAAGAGACGATATTGTCCTTCAAATCCCCGAATCTGGGAACCAAAAAGGCCTTTGGTTCACCTTAAAAGAAGGAAGCAAATACAATCTAAAATTCTCAATCAAGGTCAGCAACGACATAGTTTGTGGGCTTAAATACACCAACACCGTGTGGAAAACCGGGATCAAGGGTAACCTCCCTCCTCTTTCAAAATTCCAAGGGTATTTTCGTCATTTTAGTTGTTATCATAACCCTGTTGGGATTTTATTTTTTTGATGTAGTTGACAGCTCAAAAGAAATGCTCGGGACTTTCAGCCCACAAGCTGAGCCTTACACACATGTCATGCCCGAAGAGGTTACCCCTTCGGGGATGTTTGCTAGAGGATCTTATTCTGCAAAAACAAAGGTAAAAATAGGTGTATTTAATTATTTTGATTGTGTACTTATTAATTGTTTTATTGTTTTTTTTTTGTGTAGTTTGTTGATGATGATAACAAGTGTTACTTGGAGCTTAACTACACTTTTGACATCCAGAAAGACTGGCCCAAATCCTAATTGGGAAGTTTTTTGATGGCTATAATGGAATTTGGTTCTTGGAGATTTATGGTTTCTTTTAAGTGGGTATTCTTTGTTTTAGGAAATTTTTGGATAGTTTGATGATGTTACAATCGCAAGGTGTTGATTGTCTTTGTGGGTGGTTGCTCTGCTAGGTTATGCTTTATACAAGAGGTGCAAAGTGCAAACAACCGATTTTTGTTTCCATTTGTTTTGTTTGATTCATTCAAGATGTGTAGCCCTGTTTTCCGAAACCTTGGTTTCGGGTAATGACAGTTGTCTAATGCTTTTTCAGTTTCTTCTTTATATCATTTGGTGACTTAACAATTTTTCTTGCTCCTAAAAGTCGGATCGGGTTATCTACAACTCTTTTCTTTGTCTATTTTATGAATAAGTGGCTGGATAGGTTAGGTAACGATAGAGGTGAATGCAAGGACCTTTTAAAAGAAAAAAAAAAGAAAAAAAGACTTTGTAGACATGGTCTACCCATTTTGTCTACGAAGACTGCGATACTATGTATTTTTTCCTGCTGATTGTGGCCTGCACATGATCCAACGCTGCCATAAGATGCTTTGGCACCATGGGATGTGTTGGCTTATAGCAGGATGTTTTGGCACATCGGCCATCCCTTGACATTTTTTTTGTATGTCATGCCAACGCCCGGTCTTTAGGCTGGGTGTTAGACAGATGTTTTTTATGTTTTTGGACCGGAGTCCATCGTATTGGGGTGATACACCTCTAAGTATGTTAATCCAAGGCTTATAATCATAGCTTAGTAAGGTTGTTTGTTTTCACTCATTGAAGATTATATCTACATAAGTGTTTGACAGTGTGTATCAGACTTAGGCCCAACTTCGTATTACTTATGTTCGGAATCACATCTCGGTTTTTTGGGTGGGTCCCCTTCTGCCAACTATGTGTCGGTCAGTTAGACTTGACATTATCCCTTAGCATATTGAGACCATCATGTGTAATGTCCCAAATTTCAAACCATATTTTTCTTTTTAAAAACATAAGTAAAACATTCATTTTTCATGAAGAATATAAATATCATTTGTTTAATACCACAAAACCAAATCGAGAAAACAGTGTATCAGAACCATCATAAAACAGAGGAAGTCTATTTCATAAAATTATCAACGATGAGCGTGCGGTAAGTCAAGTTAAGCCCTTTTTTTGACAGCAGAACTACTTGAAAAACATTTAATCCACAACTGTAAGCATAAAGTCTAGTGAATTCTCCAATATACCATATATCACATCGCATATACAAGGCTCATAGTCAACACCTCAATGTGTCTATATGCACAAAGCCATCATCTCAAAGACCAAAAGTCAAAATAGTCAAAAAGTTAATGGTCAACGGTCAACATATAACGGTTCCACGCGCAAATGGTTCAAATACTAAGATATGGATCTTCTAATTGACTTAATGGATAAAGTTTCAAACTTTATCCATTTCTAAGGCCTAATCTTCTCCGAACTCTAACCTTAATTCAAAATGTGACCAACAAAATCCCTTGCATGACTCAAAGAGAAAGCTTGTACACTTACTTTTTGTGACAACCCGATGTTTCGAGTCAATGTAATGTTCGAAAAGTCAGATACTATAAACTATTTTGAATCAAAAAAAAAAAAAAAAAAAAAACGTCAAAAACGAAGTGTTCTAAAGTCTCAATTGGAATACAAAAAGTAATAGATATTGTATCAAGGTTTTCAAAAATATAGAGAACACTCAAATCCGAGTTATAACGAAGAGGTTATGACCAATCAAAGATTCGCGACTAAACCGGTAAAACACTGTTGAACGTAAAAAATGAAATTTCAATAAAAGACTTTTTAGCCTTAAGTATCTAAACAAAAGTCGTAGAAAATAACAAACCATGAGCATACATAAAAAGAACGTCCAAATCTGACTTCGTATGAGGAAGTTATGATTTTTATAAGTTTCAGAACAGCAGTAGACAACTAAAAACTCGAATTAAAGATCGAACGATTTTTAGCCGACGCAACCTAAACGAGAATTGAAGATCTCGACAATAGTAGTACAACGGTAAAAAGACAGACGAAAACGGACATCGGATGGAGAAGTTATGAATTTTTAACGAATTTATCCTGTCCCGGTCTGTTAAAAATATATTATTAAAAATAAATTCAAAACTAGCCGACGGAGTCTAAATGAAAGTTGTAGAGTACATTCTCACCTACGCGTGCATATAAAGAACGTCAAAAACGGAGCTCGTATGCGAAAGTTACGGAATTTACAAGTTCGAGGTACACAAACCGAGACGATTTACGCCCAGCGTACTCGGGTGCTAGGCTTCGGATCGTCCACGTCGCCCCTCTACGCCTCTATGCCCCTGTCCAATCCGGAGAACGACGACCAAGGATGCGGTCATGCATGACATCCGGTACGCCCAGCGTAACCCGGAGGTACGCCCCGCGTACGCGAGGGTTCCAGCCCCTATAAAAGGGATGCGAGAGTTCCGGGTTCCTTTGCTCATTTTCTCTCCTTCTCTCGCGTTTTTACCTCGTTTTGCGTGCAAGTAATATCCCGAAGTCCCGGTTTCATATCTAAGCCCCAACGAAGGTCCGCAGCCCCGAAATTCCCGAAAAATTCGCCACTTTCCGGTCGAGGTGCTGCCCGAGAAAATCTTGTTTTCTTCAAATCACGCACTTTCCCGGTGAGTTCATACCCCTACATTTTTACGTTTTCTTTAGTTTTCAGGGGGGGAATACAAGTTCAAAATACCAAAACTATCTAATACATGTTTAAGAGTTTTCCTACACCTTGTAACATGCTGAGCAAGGTGTGTATACGGTTTACACTTATCATTTCAAATGTCGATTTATGGAAACACAATGACTTGCATAACAAGGTTTTATCCAAACACACACAACACTTTTTGATAAACTATAACATGTATAGTTTGAGCACTTCGTTAGACAAAGAAACAGTAACTCAATTGACTTACAAAACAAATATTTCATTGCACACTACGTGATCTTGTATTAATTAAACTCGCGAGACATTCTCCTTCGGGGTACTCCTAAGTACTACAGAAAAGTCCTGTAGTTATAATCAGAATCTCCGGGAGGGAGAACGTGATAGTTGTGTATAGATCTATACTGGGTCTGACAAACCCACACCTAAGCTGCTTGCAACAGCTAGACCGGCAGGTCTGGGGTGACAAGTGTCATAACTTTCTGACGCCTGAAGAACGTCGTATACAAGGCCTTCTAGTATTTAGTATGGTTATAACATCTCGCACGGAGTATTAATAAAACATGCGATTCACGGAATTTCTACGACCTTTTCATAAAAAGGGGTTTTACTTAAACATAAAATTACACATATATGTACGACGATTTTCTTACTCGTACCAAGCCTTATTTCGGTTAAAACTACAATAAACCTTTCAGAAAATATTGGATTTTCTGGTAACAAAACTTTAAGGAAGCAACATTTATTTTCTTTATATAAATCGCTTATGCACTCACCAGCTTTATGCTGATACTCTCTTTTCAAAACAACTTGTATTCTCAGGTAATCAGTGATTCAGGTAACTACAAGATTTCTGAAGTCAAGACGCTAAGGCGTAGTTTCTTTTGCCACATTTTATCATCATATGTAATTTATTTGGAAACATGTATTTTTGGAAACAATGTAACCTTTTAAATTATATCTATGATGGTTGTGTTTAACTTTCTTCACTATGGTTATGATACTGAGCATGACGTCATCCGCCCCCGAACGTTTCCGCCGTTCTGGTTTGGGGGTGTGACAGATTGGTATAAGAGCTTTGTTTATAGTGAACTAAGTATATCGAACCACGTAAGATATACAAACTATAAATACAACGGGACAAAAATTCTCTGACGTAGCTTTTCAAAAATACTTTAAAAATAAGAATTAATATTTTTATAAAAGTATTCGCACAATCGCACATTCAGTATCATAATGGCAATAACATAAAAGTATCAAGACAAGTTGGACACCATGGTCTAGCTTCGGGGTATGTAGTCAGATCTTGGATAAATATAGCCTGATCAACTATATTCAGCCAAGATAGGACCAATGTATGCCGAAGAAGGATCATGGTGAGCAACAAGTCTGCAACTTACCAAAAATTCCAAGAATCAAACTTAAAAATACTATAGGAGTATTTTAACACAAAAAGCCGTAATCACAACTTCGATAACTAACTTCTTGTTCCTAAAGTTTCTCGCGACATTCCTCCTTATCCCCATTCTCGTACATGTACGATGGCAGGATTCCACTTACCAGGTGATCCCTACTTTCCCAACCATGGGAATGTCGGTTGGATTGTGGAAGACCCAGAGGAAGAACCCGAAGAAGAGCCCATGGAGGACGAGGAACCCATGGAAGAAGAAGAATCCGTAGACGGTGAAGAGGAAGAAGACTCAGATGGAACCGACTCCGAACCCGAAGTTTACAATCCACACCCTGCCCCTAATCCTCCGCGACACTTCCAGGGCCTGACGCCCCAATGGGCCGAAACAATACATCGATGGAGCCGAGAACAAGGTCAACGACCTCCCTATGGCATATAACGAGGCTTCTACGATCTCAGCAGAGGAGGGTCAGCCGATCGAGCCCTCCTTTGTCATAGTTCACCGTGTCACACGCCACGAAGAGCAAACAAGAGTTAACACCCAACCATCTCATGGAGGTTGGTGCTACCAGCCAAGTCAACTCCGTTCGCATTCGCCGGTTAGACGACGACCACGATCGGACTCGAGACCGCACCGAGCTTCTTCGACGGGAAATGGCTGCAACCCGAACCGAAGTGTAAGAACTCCGAGAGCACCGAGCCACCTTAGAGGGACGTCTAGCTGAAGCGGAGCGCCAAGCGGCGGAATCCAGAGCCGAGATGGGGAACTTCGTATCTACACTTCGTGATCCTCAGAGCTTCAACCACTACAAGTAGTGCTTGCACTGTTCCCCCCGATTTAATTTAGTTTTGCGGATAAATATTACTTTCTAGTATTTTAGGTTCAATCTCGCGATTTAAGTGTTTACACTTCCGGGATCAGTTAGGCGGCCAAAATTTTCCGTACATTGATGTAGCATAGGCCCCTAGTAGGGTCAAATTTTCCCAAGTATTGTATACTAAGTTATCTTAATGATATTGGCACACTATTTACTTTATTAACACTACTCCAATTTCATAACATGAGCTATTTTCAGATAAAAATTTATTGGTGACCAACCTATGATCGCCCGAGGTATAAATCAAAGTTGTATGTAATTAGGGCCATGTCGACCTAGAAATGGTGGTTCCGCCTTGGATCATGTTCCTTGTTTGGTTGTGGGCCCAAGGAAGACCCATTAG